AAATGCAAAAAACTAGCCGGCGAGGTGGCGGGCCTGTAGTCCCAGCTACTGGGGAGGCTGAGGCAAGGAGAATGGCGCAAACCCGGAGGCGGAGCTTGCAGTGAGCTGAGATCCGGCCACTGCACCCACCAGCCAGGGCTACAGAGCAGACTCCGTCCTCAAAAAAAAAAAAAAAAAAAAAACAAAAAAAAAAAACCGAGACCAGTCTGGCCAATATGGTGAAACCCCATCTCTACTAAAAATACAAAAATTAAGTGGGCGTGGTGGTGGGTGCCTATAATCCCAGCTACTCAGGAGGCTGAGGCAAAAGAATTGCTTGAACCCGGGAGGCGGAGGTCGCAGTGAGCCGAGATCACACTATTGCACTCTAGCCTGGGAGAGAGTGAGACTTTGTCTCAAAAATAATAATAATTATTATTATTATATTATAATTATTTAGAGGCCTCTTTCCCTCCCTTGGGGGAAACCCTTTGCCAGAGCTTGCTCTTCCCCCTCGGTGCCATCCAGACAGACGCTGGTGTGAGGCAGGAGTGGCGCAGAGGGCTGGTGGGGGGCAGGCCTCGGACACAGCAAGGTCACCAGTGCACTGCCGGGGGGATCGCAAAGGGGGACAAAGGGGTGGGTGGGGCCATCGCAGAGCCCTCCCCAGGAGCACCAGGCCCTCCCCGCATTGCATCTTCATCTCCCTAGACTTTCGTTCTGTGGGGTCAGGGGACTGTGAGGGCCAAGGCCACCTGGCTAAGGGAACCGGAGCTGTTTGGCGAACGCCCAAGGAGGGGGAAGCTCCATCAATGGGAACACCTGCCCTCCTGTCCATGGCCCTGGGCTGCCCCAATGACCACAGTGGGGCGTCACCCAGGGAGGCCTTGCGAGTGCAGTCTTTTGATCAGAGAGCGGCCAGCACTGCAATCAGGCAGCCCCAGGGCGAGCCCCGGACCACCTGAGAACATAAGTCAGGCCTCAGGCTTCTCCTCTGCAGTGTGGGCGTAACGAGTGAAGCCACCTCCAGAGGCAATGAGCACCCATGGTGGGTGCGGGCACCTGGCTGGCCCCCAGAACGGTGACAGCTGGTACATGTGGCCATGTGGCGAGGGAGGCTTCAGGCTGAGCAAGCTTCACGGTGGCCGCTGAAGCCTGAACGACGCAGGCCCGGGGGCGATGCGGGACACAGGGGGAAAGCACTCTGTATTCACTCCGCCCCTCAGTGCCACTGGCCTCTCTAGGGAGCCCCACCAGCCACACTTTCCTGGGCAGGCAGCCCCACAAGTGCTTCTAACCTCTTCCTATCTCAACCCGTCTGTCCTGAGGTTTGCTTTCCCTGGCCCCAACTGCAGGGCCCCCCAGTCCAGCAGACCCTTGGTAGCATAGTCTCCCTGCTTCCGAGGATGGACACTGGGTGGGGGCCTTCTGAACTCGGCACCCAGAGCTGGTCAGGGAGCTCCGAGGTGGCATCGCAGGGCATGCAACCCCCCCACTCACTCTTCAGCCAGCGGCTACTAGATCCACCACCAGGGCTCTCTGACACGGTGAGTGCGTCCCCTCCCGCCCCACCTACAAATTGGGGACTTGGCTCTCGGGGAGGCCCCCGGCCAAGTGTAAGGTTCGGAAAGAGAAAAATGTAATCGGTGCAAAAACCTCCGTCGGCTGAAGACGCTCGGGCAGTGCTGGCTTCCAAACGCTTAAAAACCTGCCCCAGATGAACGAAGTTGCGACTAAAACAACCCCAGCCAGTTATGACTTTTAATTTCTCCGGAAGAGCCGCTGCGTCACCTCCGGTAGGAGACGGAGCCGGCCACTCTTCTTGCGGTGAAGGGGTCCGAGGCCAGGGTGGGGGGCCACCAGGGCCCATCTTCTTTGCTTTCCGTCCTTGTCCAGTGGCTGAGCTCCAGCCTCGGACAGTCTTTGCCGGATGTGGGGGAAGCGTCCGGCGCCTCGATGGCCCACACGCTGTTTCCAGGGTGCTTACCTGGGAGCGGCTCCTTCGCCTCCCGTGACCCGCGCTGAGCTGTGGGGAGGCGCCCCTCCGCCTCCTCGGCCTGGGGATTGAGACAGGGGAGTGGACATGCCACAGGGCCCTGCAGGGAGGGCACCAAGGGCCAGGGATAGACCAGGATGGATGGGGACAGATGGGGACAGACTGGGGTGGATGGGGACAGATGGGGGTGGACAGGGACAGATAGGGACGGACAGGGACAGACAGGGACCCACTGCAGGAACCAAGGACCGGCCACAGGAACCAAGGGGCCCCAACCAAGATCAAGTCTCGGATTGGCAGAATGTTGGGAGGAGGGCCCTGAAACAGGTGGGGCTGGGGAAATGGCTTCCAGGAAGTGCGTACGGGAGAGGCTGGGCCCAGCCGCTGTCCGTCAGGGGGGCTCGTGGGCTGCAGGCCCGGCTGAGGGGCCCGAGGCTGCTTCCCAGGTTCTGAAAGACACAGTCCTAGGAGTCACCAGCGGCAACCACAGACTGAGGCCAGGAAGGGAAGGAACGAGGCAGGGGCAGAATGGAGCTGCGGGGGGTGGGGGGTGGGGGAAACACGGTGGAGACTGATGTGCGTGGGGAGTGGGGAGGGTGTCGCTGCATACTGCCCTGTTCTTGGCAGGATGGATGGCAAACAAGCTAACTTCGAGGGAGACAGGGACAGCCTGGGGCCACATCCGGCTCTCTGCCCTGCCATGATCCCTGCCTGGAGGCCCGAGGGTCTGCTCAGCCCGAGCTGGGAAAGGCAGCCTCTGAGGCAAGCGCAGGGCAGGCCCTGCCGAATCCTCCTTCTGCCCTGGCCAGGGGCTCCCTGTGGGCCTGTGTTTCTGGGACCTGCCTGGCAACAGTCTGAGGCCTGCACCTGACCCCAACCAAGATCAGGGGCTCTGAGCAGCCGCCCATGAGGAGCCCTTCGCAGACAGAACCTGTCTGGGTGGTTTCCCGGCCAGCGCATCCCTCGCTGTGTATCTTGGGAATGCTGGCTGCCTGTGCATGGGGTGGCCTGCCTGCTGGCAAGCCCACTGTGTGCCCTGCTGCACTGAGATGCAGACACGGGGAGGCCGGGGTGGCCCGGTCACAGGTGGGGCACAGCAGGCCTGCCTGATCCTGAGCCTGACGCCACCCCACACTGCCCAGGGCCCACTGAATGAGTCCGTCTGTCCCGGGGCAGTCACTGCTGCTGCTCGTTACCTTGGCTGACGTGGCTGCCACTCTCCACCAGCGGGCCCCGGGCGTCATGTGTGTCCTCGCCCCACACTGGCCTCGGAGGCTGCTGGTGACCATCTGCGTCGGAGGTTGTCTGGGGCGGCATCACATCCTGCTGCTCCGCGGGAGGGCTGCACGGCCATGCAGAGTGGAGGTGACCGCCCGCCCGGCTGCCCCTTCCCAGGTGTCCAGCCCTGGCCACAACCTCCACTAGCACCCTCTCTCTGGGAACAACCTCATGTCACATCCAGGGGTGGCTGCGGTCAGTGGCCAAGCAGAAGACGAGATTGTGACCCCCTCACCCAGGTAAGGTGGGTGGGAGAGACCTGTGTTCTCCTCAGGGTGTGGCCCCTTCAGACTTCTGCCTGGAGATGGACTGTGCCTCCCAGGTGCACATGCTGGGCCCCCGAGAAGCACGGTGCCACCCCAGGCCTGCGCTGACCTCCAGGTACTCCCCGTCTGACTCTGCCTGGGTCACACTGCTGGGGTGGCAAGAAAACTCCTGCTCTCTCAGGTGCCTGCCCGGCGACACGTCGTCCGACTCCCTTTCCCCCCCAGGCACCTGCCACATCTGGGCACAGCTGGTTGCTCCCGCCCAAGGGTGCCCCTGAGCATTTCCCCCTGGATTCACAGATGGCCAGGGGTGAGCAGGAGGTGCTGGTTCAGAGGAGGGTGGCCCTAAGGCCCTGGAATCCCCATCCCAAGGTAGATGGCTGAGGGGCTGGAGCCCGCACTCTCGCTGGAGCAGGACTGGGAAGGCACCTTGACACCAGTGTGTGCCCCACACAGGCTTTAGAGGGAGACAAGGCAGTGCCCCCAGGGCTTGGCACTGCCCCCAAAGCAGAGCAAGGTACTGTACTCTCAGAGCTGCCCCAGAAAAAGAACGTGGCTGAATAAAAATGGGAACAGGAATCCCCATGTCCTAAAGGATTCATTCCCCTCCCCTACACCCTCCTCGGCACGCAGCGTCTCAGGCCAGGACCCCGCGGCAGCTCCATCTGCTCCATCCAGCTTCTTCCTCGCTCCCCTGGGGTGCAGATAGACACACCCCAACCCCAAGGCACCCAGCTCACAACTGAGCTTCTCTCAAATGGACCAACGAAGGAGGGAAGCGCGTCTGCTCCTGTGTGGCAGGAGCCCCAGCAAAACACCACAGGTGAGCTTCTCGGGGGTGGGGTCCCAGGGAGCCCAAGTTTTCTCTGTGAATACCTCACTTTTCTCTATTTTCTAGCTGTGGACAGGGCCACACATCGCTGGTGTGACAAGTCGAACATAGGGTGTACCCCTCCGCCAGGAGGGTGGGCTGACCCCCACGCTGGGGTCCAGGTCTGCAACCGTACGTCTACCAGCCCCTCCTCTCCAGCCCTATAAGCAAACCCTGGGGGACCAAGCGGCGGTAGTAGGCCTGGAAGCCTCTTCAGAGATTCCTGGGACTGGCAACTGGCAGCAATGTGAATGACAGATCAGTCTGTGCCCAGGTTTATTTGAAAGCTTGAGGAGGAGCCATGGAGCCAATGGCCGAGGCTGAGTGGTCAGCAGCTCCCCTCGCTGCAGAGGCCCCTCTGGGCTGGGAAAGAGCTGCAGGACGCTCTCCCAGGCAGGCAGGGGCCTCCAAAGGCTGCTCCCCTGGGTCTGTGCTGCCCCGCCGCTTGCTGCTTCAAGGGGGTCTGTGATAGAGTCTTGAGGGCTGCCGGCCCTGGGGGCCTGAGCTCAAAGGAGAGGAGGCCTCCTCGGCTCTCCAGGGCCATTTTGAGCCCCGAAAGAAGAGCTGTTCCCAGCATCGGGAAGCCGGGAGGCTCTTGATGGGAAAAGCAGCTGCTCCTCCCACGGCCAGGCTCTCGGGCAGGTGACCCTGGTCATCACACCTCCTCCCCTGCTCCATGGGGACAGTCCAGGCAGAGCCCTGGTGCCCTCTAATGAGGCGCTTTTGCTGCAAACCAAGGCCAACGGCCATATGGCCAGGCCTCAGAGAAGGTTGAGCTGCCACCGGTGGGCAGAACAGCCCCCAGCCACCTTGGGAGGGGGTGCCCAGGGCTACACGTGACACCCCTGGCCCCTGAGCCAGGCCTGTCCACCGGCTGTGCCCCACCACGTCCTGCAGCAGCTGTGGAGGGGGAGAGCACCCCGTCCCTATTTCCCAGGTGAGGAAACAGGCTAAGAGGAGGCCTTCCCCGTGGCCACACTCCAGCCAGCCACAGAGCCAGGAAGGTGCAGCCAGCTCCTGGGGCTCCTCCCATGGGGCCCCGGCAGCTCTGGCTTCTGCCCAGACCCACTGGGCCAGCAGGCCTCCTTCAGTGCCCTCAAAGCCCACCCCCTTCCATCCTCCCAGGCACAGGTGGGGATGGGGCTGAGTGAGTCGGCCGCCCAGTGCAGGAAAGGCTTCTCAGGAGAACATCAGCATCCAGACCCCGACTCCCAACCCCCAAGACCAACCAACTCACCGTTTGGCCTTCGAGCTTGCGGGGCTGCTCTGGGGGCGACGGCTGGTGGGGCTGCTGGGCCTGCGCAGGGTCAGGGGACACAGGGAGGCCTCTGGCTGCTGGCTTGTCTCTGAGCCACCCTCCCAGGTGGCCTTGACTCTGGGGCTGGAGCCCTGTGAGAAACGGTGCAGGAGAGCCTGGCGTGGCTGTCTCTGCCCATTTAATCCTCAGAAAAGCCGGTGCTGGGTGTCATGTGGCTGTGGCTGTGGCTGTGGCAGGGCTGGTGCAGTGCTGGGGCTGCTTGCTCCCCGCTGGGTGCCAGGCTGAAACAGGACCTCTCATTTGAGCAGGGGTCCTGCACCCCCGCTGAGAGGTATGGATGGGAGGCCCAGAATGACGAGTCTTTGCCCAAGGCCGGCCAGAGACCCCCATGCCCAGCTCTGGAATCAGGTTGCTCCTGTCTCCTCTCCTGCAGTCCAGCCTGGAGCAGGTGCTTCAGAGAGCTCAGATCATTCAATCCTCATCCCCACCTTCCGGGTGAGCCCGCTGCCCTCCCCGCCTTACAGAGGAGACGCGCAGGTGGGGAAGGCACACAGCTTGCCTGGGGATAGTCCCCCACCCCTCGTCCACACAGCTTCCTCACTCTGCTGGTGGACATGGGGAGCCGGAGCTTCCCTCCAAGGACGCAGCTTCTGCTTGGGGTCCCCGAGGGGCTGGCCTCCCCGAGGAACTTCCAGCCACACTCTCCTTCCTGCCTGGGTCCCATGAGATCCCCAGTCCTGCTTACTCCCCAACCCCATCCACTGCTGCCCCCACCTGAAGTCTGGCTCTGCTCTAGGACCTGGCCAGGACCACCCCATCCAGGAAGCCTCCTCAGCCCCCCAGCAGCGGCCCCTCCCTCCCTCCATCTGCCCCACCCCCAACCCCACCCCCCAGCAAGTCTTCCTGCAGCCACAGGCATTTTTACAAGGGACTTGCACGATCCCAGGGTACAGCATTTCTGGGGCTGAGCCCCAGCCCAGGCGAGAGCGCCCACCTGCGGCAGCTTGGCCCGGGCCTGCAGCTCGTGCACTGGGACGACGTCCGCGGGCCCCGTCATGGGGAGGACTTCCATGGGCCCTGGGATGGGGAGGGCGTCTGTGGGCCCCGGGATGGGGAGTGCGTCCCTGGGCCCTGGGATGGGGAGGGTGCCCGTGGGCCCCGGGATGGGGAGGGCTCCTGCAGGCCCCGGCATGGAGACGACGTCCCTCTGATGTTGCAGAAACAGCTTCCTGTCTCGGTGTCTGAGCAGCTGCGTGTGGCGCAGGTATTGGATTTCCCTCTGAGCAGGCGAAAGAAGCAGATGTCAGCATAACCCCGGAGCCAGCAGAGGAAAAGGCCAACGAATGGCCGGGCGCGGTGGCTCAAGCCTGTAATCCCAGCACTTTGGGAGGCCAAGACGGGCGGATCACGAGGTCAGGAGATCAAGACCATCCTGGCTAACACGGTGAAACCCCGTCTCTACCAAAAAAAAAAAATACAAAAAACTAGCTGGGTGAGGTGGCGGGCGCCTGTAGTCCCAGCTACTCGGGAGGCTGAGGCAGGAGAATGGCATGAACCCGGGAGGCGGAGCTTGCAGTGAGCTGAGATCCGGCCACTGCACTCCAGCCTGGGCGACAGAGCGAGACTCCGTCTCAAAAAAAAAGAAAAAAAAAGGCCAACGAAAGGGAAGGGGTGTCTGGGCGGATGCCCTGGCCCTCGCACTGGGGGGCCTCCCTTTCCCTCCAGTTGGCCTTTGCCTGCCCCTCCTGCCGGGCCTAGGATACCCCCATGGCCTTGGGCTTCCCTGGGCTTGGTGGAGGAGGCAGCCGCAGGCGGCAGGAGACAGGAGGGAGACAGGCATTCATTCCCCGGGGCCGAGCGGGGCTGGCACAGGTTGACTGGGCCTCGCCCTCCCTCTCTCCAGGCTCCAGGCACTGCCCCCACCCCATCCCTCCTTTACGACTGTTCTCTCTGTTCCCCACAGTGTTCCCGGTGGACGCACCCTCGGAACCACCTTGTATGGAGCCCAGGCACGGGCCGTTGCCCACCCGCCCTGGGAGAAGGCAGCTTCATCAGGGAGACGGGAAACTGAGGCTCTACCAAGCGGGTGTCTGGTCCACGGCCCCGCTGGGGGGTCCCAGACCCCACGTCCACCAGGGCGTCTCTGTCTATGACATGCAGCCTGCCTATGGCTGGGCGTCCTGGCCCTGGCCAGCTCCAGCTCCTCCCGCATGGGCTCCCTGGGCAGGGCCTGTTCTATCAGGCCCCCTCGTTGACAAGCGGACCCCTTCTAAGCCCCTTTTGTTTCCCTGCATTGTTCTCTGTGGGGCCTGCCTTTTCCTGTTTCTCCATATCCAAGAGGACTCGCGCATGGGTCTGCAGCCTGGGTCTCCGCCCCCAGCTCCCTCGCCTGGAATGCCCCATGTCTGACACCCCAAGTCCCAGTATGTACAGGGCATCCAGGGCAGGGGTGGGGATCTCAGGCTTTCCAGTCAACATAAGGTCCTGCACTGACCCCATTTCCCAGCAGAGGGTCCTGGGTGAAGTCAGTCCCCCACCCCAGCTCAGCTTCTTTTTTCTTTTTTTTTTTTTTGAAACAAGGTCTCACTCTGTTGCCCAGGCTGGAGGGCAGTGGTGCAATCTCAGCTCACCGCAGCCTCGACCTCCCGAGCTCAAGCAATCCTCCCACCTCAGTCCACCAAACAGCTGGGACTACAAGCATTGGCCACCTGTAGTGGCAGATTTAGTTTTTGTAGAGACGGGGGTCTTACTATGTTGCCTAGGCCTGTCTCACATTCCTGGGCTCAAGTGATCCTCCCACCTTGGCCTCCCAAAGTGTTGGAATTACAGGCGTGAACCGCCTCACCCAGTTAGGTTCCTTTATCTGTACCAAGGGTGTTAGCGCCAGCCCCTGCCCCACAGCATGGGGACACTGATGTGAGGATGCAGGCACAGTGGCCTCGAGCTATGAGGGGCCCTTGAGCCTGTGACCCGGGCGGGGGCCGGCAAGGGTCCTCATTTTGGCTATCAGGCTTGCTCCTCAGTCTCACTCTCTGCTGCAGGCAAAGCCCTGACTCTGGCAGCTGTTCCCCTCTCCATGTGTGCACCCAGCACCGACTCTCCCTGGGGGTCGGCTTCCTCCAGGCCCTGGTGACAACGATGGCAGGAAGGCAAGAGCAGCCACAGATGGAGACCCCTCCCTGGCAGGCGTGGCCGGGGATTCACCTGCACCACCCTCACGGCCCCCACGCATGCGCACATCAGGCTTCTCCTCATTTTCCAGATGAGGGAACTGGACTCGGAACAGTTGGGAAAGTCCTCTGAGGTCGTACGTGGCACACATCCACCCAGGTAAGTGCTGGCTGCACTAAACTCTCCCAAACCCCTGCTTACAGATACTAACTATTCTTCTCTGGTTTCAAGGAGGAAACCGAGGCATCAAGAGACAGAGCCACTTGCCCGAGGTGACATCCAGCAAAAGGCTGAGCCTGGCCTGGAGCCAGGGCCACAGGGCCACCTTCCACCCTGGCCGTGATGCCCCCTCGGGCCATGGGCACTCCTTCTGTACTGCAGGGTCCTGTACGGCCCTGGAGGGTGGCAAGGGCTTGGGAATTCTTTAGCTCTGGTGCTGGGGAATGTTCAGATTCCAGGCAAGAAGATGACAGGACCACCTCTGTGTGCCGCCCACCTCGACCCACCAGGCCTGTGCTGGCCCCACCTGCTCCTTCTCGAATCTGCTGAGGGCTTGCTGCTGCTTCTCCACCAGCATGGCCAGCACAGCTCTGTCCCTCTTGCTGTCCAGGCACCTGGGGGGAGGTGGCAACATCACCGCCAATCTTGACAGCCCGTGCAAGTGGATATAGAAAGTCACAGACACAGCCAGCCCTGGTCGGCCACATCAACCTGGAATGCCCTCCCAAGGTGCGGGCACCGGAGAGGAGGCAGCCATGTGTGGACAGGCTCGGCAGCCTTGGGGTGGCCAGATGGCCCCAGCCCTGGCTGTCACTCTTCCACCCCTCACAGCCACTTTTGGACTTTTGGTCTAAAGAGACAAAGGCTGGCAGAGAGCAGCCGCTGCCACCCTGAAGACCCAGCCCAGGCCAGTGGGTCCTTTGGGGAGGGAGGTGGGGGTCACTCACATCCACCCCCATTCCCATCATGGGATAAACACCCTCAGCCTGGCCCGCTCAGACACTGGGTGAGGATGTTAACTGGAATCACCTTTCTGGAGACCAGCGTGGCATTATCAAGCGGCTTCCAAATGCATTCTCACTGACGCGGTCATTCCACTTCTAAGATTTTGCCTTAAGGAAATGACCTCTCTATCTTCATTAATAATGGCAAAAAGTTGGGACAACTTAGAGGCCCGGAGATCCGGGACAGGCGAAGGGAGTTACAGCCCTGTCTCTGCGCTGGTGCGCCCTGTGTGTTACAGCGGTTACGCAGACACACAGAAAGGTTTTCCTGACATTTAAATTGAAAACGCAAGTTACAAAACAGCACATGCCGCCCATTTGCAATGTCGCAATAGCCGTGTGTGTTTCTCCCCGAAACAGAGTATCCGCACTGGGCGCGGTGGCACACGCCTGTAATCCCGGCTCTTTGAGAGGCGGAGGCGGGTGGATCACCTGAAGTCGGGAGTTCGAGACCAGCCTGATAAATATGGAAAAACCCTGTCTCTACTAAAAATACAAAATTAGCTGGGCGTGGTGGCGCATGCCCGTAATCCTAGCTACATGGAAGGCTGCGGCAGGAGAATCGCTTGAACCTGCGAGGTGGAGATTGCTACTAAAAATACAAAATTAGCTGGGCGTGGTGGCGCATGCCCGTAATCCTAGCTACATGGAAGGCTGCGGCAGGAGAATCGCTTGAAGGAGGCGGAGGTTGCAGTGAGCCTAGATCGTGCCATGCGCCACTACACCCCAACCTGGGCAACAAGAGCGAAACTCGGTCTCAAAAACACAAAACAAAACAAAAAAACAAAGTATGCGCAAAGAGGATTTCAGAAGTCATCTTTGGGACGATGGGGGGATTTTTAAAATTTGTGTATTGAGTACTTTACTGCCTTAGTTAAGTTTCAGCAAACACCTATTACTATTTGGACCAGTACCTTGTTTCTCAAAACGCTGTCGGGCCACGGGAGGGACCCGGACAGGGTGGGGCGGGGCCGCGGCGGGGCGGGGCCGCGGCGGGGCGCATGCGCTCACCCTCGCCGATGCTCCAGCCACGCCAGCTCCGCGAGCGTTTTCTCCTGGAGCGCCATCTCTCGCAGGTGCAGCACCGCGGCCTGGTGCTGTGCTCGCAGCTCCTCCTCCCGCAGGCTCCGCTCCAGCATCTGCGGCTTGAAGCAGCCCAAGGCTCCTAAAGCTCTGGGTTCGGCGCTTCCGGGCCTCGCGGGGTTCCACTAGGGCGGGCCGCGTCACCGCCTAGCTTCTAGACCGCTCCAGGCATCGGCCACCGCCTCCGAGAAGCCCTCTAGGACTGCCCGCCCCGCTCATCTCCCATGCCGCCCCCGCTTCCCCGACTGTGAGCTGGCGGGGCAGGCCGGATCTTCATCATCTCGGCCTCACCACCAGCCCTGATCCGGGAAGCCCAGGCCACCTGCCCTAAGATATACAACCTGGGCGGGGGCTAACCGTGCCCAAAGCACCCTGTTGAAATGCCTGCCCCGCTCTGTCACCCAGGGCGGGAGGAACCGGCTTGAGTAGCTGTCAGCTGGAAGACTGCGTGACGCGATGGCCGGAAGAACCTCCCAACCCAGAACCTGCCTTGGCCCTTCTTAGTGGGAGGGACAGTTGGGTCCGAGGCCTACTACCAGGGCTGTGCTGGGCCCTGAAGTTGTGCCCCTCCCGCAGGGGACCTCTCCACCTACCTGGTGGGCGGGGTTGTCTGGAGGGAAGAGCTTGGCCAGGGGCAGCTGGGAGAGGGCTCCGTCAGGGCCCCCCACCTCTGAGGAAGGAAGCACCATGGTTTGGTCATGTAGGGGGTCTAAGTGCCCCATGTCAGGGGCCATTTCTACCGGAGGGCCTCATAAAAGTAGGAGGTCTAGGGCAGTTTAGTGCCCCCACCCCATCCCGGACACACAAGGCTTCACGAAGAATCCACAAGACCACGCGGGAAGGGACCAGCAGTCTCCTGATGTGAAGTTCTAGTGTGTGACCCCACTGATTGTGGGAAAGACCAGACCAAAGGTAGAGGGAGCTCAGGGAGACAGCCCAGCTGCTCTGCTTCTACAGGAGGGGAGACTGAGGGCCACAGAGGGAGAAGGGCTGTTCTAGGTCCAGCACCAAGGAGCTGGCAGGTGACAGCAGAGCCCTGATCCCCAGCTGAAGTAGCTGACCTGCTGCCCACCGCTGCTGGCCGTGCTTCTGTTTCTGAGTGATGGAAAAAGGAGCCTATACTTAAAAGTCCTTAAGGGCTTTCCCTCCCCACAAAGAGAGCAGAAAGGACTGGATTTTGGCTTTACCATCCCATCTGCAACAACTAAAAAAATCACATAAATACACACACACATATGTGTGTTTATATAGAGATATGTGTGTGTATATACATATATATATATTTTTTTTTTCACACACACATATGAAAGAACAGTTTTCCAGGCACTGGACATGAGGCAACACAGCACAGTGATCCCTGAGAGACAGAAAACAAAGGAGGTGAGACTTGCGACGCTCACCGTTCACTGCCTGAGACAGTTGCCAGGCTACGGTGAGGGAGGGGAAGCTGGCTGAGCTGGAGGAATGCCTGGGTAGAGGAGACAGCAGAGTCTGGGGGGACCAAGGCAACTGGAGTTTGTGGGGGCAGAGTGTCAGAGAGGAGAGAGTTGCACAGAGAGAGGACCTCTGATATGTATGAAGCGTCCTCCTGGAGTATTCAGTAGAGAACTGATGGATGAATGCATGTCAAGAAGCTACCAGATGCTGGGACAGAAGCATTCCAGGGGACTGGAAGCCTGGGAATGACACCTGTTTCCAGTAGCCAGGCTGGAGGACCTCAGCACTCCCAGGTCACTGGGCAGGCTGTATACACAGAACTTTCTTTTTTTTCTTTTTTTTTTTTTTACGCCCAGCCTTTTTTGTATTTTAGTAGAGATGGGGTTTCACCCATGTTGGCCCAGGATGGTCTCCATCTCCTGACCTCCTGATCCGCACTTAGCCAAAGTCGGATTAAGTGTGAGACACACACTATAAAATTTTAAGCTTCTTCTGGACTGCAGTTATTTGGAGTAATTTGGATCCTTTCAGACTTTGCCTTAATAGTGCGATAAGGCCGGCGTGGTGGCTCACACCTGTAATCCAGCACTGGGGAAGGCGAGGGCGAGCAGATCAGGGTTTAGGCGATGAGAATTTGGCTACAGTGAAACCGTCTCTACTAAAAAAATACAAAAAACTAGCCGGGAAGGGTGGCGGCGCCTGTAGTCCAGCACTCGGGAGGCTGAGGCAGGAAGGCAGAGAATGCGTGAACTGGGAGGCGACTTTGCAATGAGCCTGAGATCCGGCCATGGCCATGTGGGGACGAGCAAGAACTCCATTAAAAAAAAAAAAATAGTGGGGCATTAATAGGAATGAGGTCAATGAGCTGGGGTAATATTTCAACAGTCAGGGCAGAAGTTGGCCGGGCGTGGTGGGCCCTGAAGCCCCTGTAATCCCAGCATGTTTGGGAGGCCGAGACCGGGCGGGATCACGAGTCCAGGAGATCGAGACTAGCCCCTGGCCTAACGCGGTGAACCCCGTCTCTACTAAAAAAATACAAAAAAGCTAGCCAGCGCGAAGTGGCGGGCCGCCTGTAGTCCCAGCACATGGGAGGCCTGAGGCAGCGAGAATCGGCGTAAGACCGGCGGGAGGTCCAGAAAGCTTGCAGTGAGCTGAGATCCGGCACTGCGACCCACGCCTGGGCGACAGAAGCAATGACTCCGTCTC